TGTAATAAGTCCAATATGGCCGCTATGAACAATAAAAGAATTAGAAATATGAATAAATCTACTATTATGAATCAATTTACACAAGATCTTCATGTGAATACATATTTTTAAGATCGTTAATTGTTAATTATTTGCAATTAAGAAACTCAAAATGACGAATGAAAGCGGATGCCAAAATTAAAGGATTTTTGAGGTCGCTGGTTATAAACCTGAAGTCAAAGTTGCAAAATTCAAAATAGTATTCAACATGGCGAATGTATGTATATTAAAATATATTTTTTTCTTTTTGTGAATAATTATGTATTACAATTTTTAATATCACAAATTATTTGCGTGAATATCCTAGGTAATTGCACTATTTTGAATTTTGCAACATTGACTTCAAATTTATATAACTAGCGACCTCAAAAATCCTTTAATAATTTTCATCAAAAATTAAATATTTTCCAATTTTGGCATCCGCCGTAATCCTTCATTCGCCACTTTGAATTACTTAATTATTGCAAATAATTAACAATTAACGACCTTAAAAATATGTATTCACATGAAGATCTTGTTTGTAAATTGATAATGGTAAATTTATTCATATCTGTAAACTGTAACCTAGCGTGTAACGAATTAAAAATGTTCTGAATGAATCTCATTCATGGTATCGGAGGGAGCCGCCAAAACAATGTCGTCTACATAACGATAATAGAATAAGGGTTGTATAGGTAATATTTCGATGGCTAATATTTCTAAGTTCTGTAATACAATTTCAGCAATATCTGGATATTGTGACCCCATGGGGGTGCTGAAAATTTGTTTGTAAAAGTTTTGATTATAGGTAAAAAACGTAGAATCCAAAACAAAGTTTACAGCGATGAGAAATTCACTTAACGGTATAGCAGTATTTTGAGAGATATGTGGTCCCATTTCTTCTCAATGCTCTTAGCCATCAAATCTACACTGAAAAAAAATTTGCAGATTTTAAATAAATATTTACTTCAATAGTACTAACGAAATATTTATTTATAGTAAATGAATATTTATTCAAAATAAAACAGTTATGTTTAAATCGAATAAATATATGTTTACATTTAGTAAATATTTATTTAAAATCTGAAAATTTTTTTTCTGTGTATGAGAATATTGGTAAACTTTTATATATTATCTTTTTATATATTAGTTGAACCGTTTATAATTTAAATATGTATATTTTTGTTGTAACATTGAAGATGACCCGATCGGGCTCGAAACGACGTTTGTTATTTTTAATTTGTTTTAGTTCTTAATTATTATATTATATCTTTTATTTACATATTTACATGTTGTCTTTTGGTTCATAGCCCTTCTAACACTTCTATTTTTAATTTTAGAATCGTTGACTAACAACCTCTAAATCTTAATCTCTAATCTATTTTTTGATAAAAATTTAGGGGTTCTTTTGAAATGGAAGCTTTTGAGCTGAGAGGCCGATTAAAAAAAATATTTTCTTTTTTCCTTGTCAGTCTAATACATAGTGTTTCAAAAAAACTATTCAGCATTTATATGATAGTACATCATACTGAATAACAAAATTTTAGTAAACATAAATCGAAAACTCAATCGTTTCTGAGATATAAACATTTTCATATGTTAGCATCATGAATGACTCTGGCTACTACGTGATGTTTACTTCAGTGGGTAATTGTTGGGTTTAGCCTCCATATCTCCGAGGTTGATAAAATTGAGCTCATTCGACGTGTTTTTGGACGAAATGAACGAATCTAGCAAAAAAAGTGTCGCTCTGGAACGAGGTAAATTAGTCGTTGACGAATATTCAGATTAGAAAACCTATCAATATCGATGACATAGAGAGATATGAGAACATGTAAGTGAGGCTAGAATAAATATTTTCTGCTTCAAAAAACAAAAAAAATTACACAAATTCTCTGTTTTAAAAACACATATTATCTTCTATATAATTTTTATTTTTATAGCAGAAAATTTGTTTTGATTAGGTATTCATCTGCTTTAAAAACATAAATTTTCTGCTTTAAAACACAAATTCTCCGCTTTAAAAACAAATTCTCTATTGTAAAAACAAAAATTACATAGAAAATAATTTGTGTTTTTAAAGCAGAGAATTTGTGTAATCCTCTGTGCTATCGATGTAACAGATTTCCTAATCTGAATATCTGCCAACTTTAACGATTATTACTACGATTCATGTTTTCTCACTTCAATAATAATAATCCCGTAACTCCGAAACCGTTCGAAATCGGATATATGTTTATTAGATTATATATTTTCAACTTGTTTTCATACGCTGAAGTCGCTGTAGCAGTTTTGGCTCTGTATGCAGAAATACCCTGTATAATAGAAATATTAAGTGCTTTTCAGCAATGTACACAGACTACATTGTGTAATCATACTGTATGATTCCATGCTTTTCAACTATATGACATAAGTCGTTACAAATACACACAGCTTAAATGCTGTGTTTATGTTGTTACTTTACATCGTATTACGAATACCAAATTTGTAAATTTCATTTACACCATTTATTTTTCTAGTATTATTCCGATAAAAGGTTTTAAGTTTATATTCGAAGAAAATATATTTTAAAAAAGGATTGATCATTCAACACCTGTATTCAGCCAGGCAACACCTGTATTGTTCCATGCAACACCTGTATTGCTCCATGCAACATTGTTAATTTTCAAGATCGCTAATAGTTGGAGCAAGTAATATTTCAATTATCCACTCCTAGGAACTGCAAGTAACTCGGTAATAAAAATCATTGCTAACAGCGTTTTCGGCTCGACCGAATTTGTATAAACTTGGGTTGAATTAATGATTTACTATTAGATTGACGTTAATGCTCTACCAATAGGAGAACACGAAATGTCATTAATTCAATCCAAATTGATGCACTCCGGTCGGAGTGACATGCCGAACATACTATAAGATTACAATTATAGCAGACTTTATCGCTGGGTCTTGATATATACTACGATTGATTTTTACGTTATCGCTGGATCTGGAGTAACTCAGATTGCAAGCGGATCACATTCCGCGATACACGTTCATGGATAAAGGGGAAGGAGGGGAGTAATCATTGACGTACCTCGACGACGATGTCGACGGTGTAGTAACGGACATGGTCGCGCTGATCTCGTTAATCATCGGCGCGCTGCTGGATCGCTTCAGACTAACGATCGGACAATCAACGTCCATGATTGTCGGGGTGACACGCGGCAGTCCCAGGTGTCTCAAAACGTAATCGTGCAACGTCCGCGCGGAGATGGCACATAGGAGAACCTGTGGTGTCTGAGATTATCCGAGAATGTTGTCTCCGTCGCTGCTACCGTCGAGCCTTGACGTTTCCAAATCTGTCACGCGCGTTTCTGCGAAATTCGCACAAATCTTACGATTCCGGGTGCATACGTTGTCTTCGCCGGCTGCCGTGACCGACGCGAAGAACATCGAGATGTCCACCCCACCGACGAAGAAGCCACGGGTTCAGGTGACTAATGAACCTTTCTCGAGATAACTAACGCGCCCACATTCTCTGGAGACGAGTGAACACTTAGGACGACGGGCACGGCGACGGAACGAAAGAAAAAACTGGAAGTTCCTGGAATCAGGCCGCGCACAAAGCTAAGTTACTCGAACGAAACAGTCGAGTGATCTTCGTAGTTCGTAATCTCAATGCTGTTAATGCGGCTATGCGACTAGTATACGGTACTGCCGCTACCGTCGATATCACAGGCTGGACGCTATCATGCTTGCAGTTATCGTGCTTGTGCAGTGCGTGTGCGACTGCGACGCGTGACGATTGACGATGCGCCGTTATCGACCACTTTTCTTTAGCTCCTGTGCACACTAGGGTCCCTCTAATCAGAGTCAGGAGTGTCGGAACCCCTAAAGGTGTAATTTCACGCAGCGTCAAAACGCTGGCGGCTCTCCCCACTCTGACCCCCTATGAGCCGCTATCGTTTTGCCGCTTGAAGTTTGGCTCGGCCGAACTTTAAGCGGCAAAACAACGGCGGCTCTTATGCGGAGTCTTCAATAGAAGTCGTAGCGGTCGTAAGGGCTTAAGTCGTAGAAAATTGACCAATCACAGTTGATTATTCTTCTCATATTCGACCGTGATTGATCAATTTTCTACGATTTAAGACCCTACGACTGCTACGACTTCTATTGTAGACCCCGCATTATGCCCGTGTCACACTACGCATTGGAAAATGAGGATTGCGAATTGAAGAAGTGGGTGGCTACTTTTCGCTGTAAGGCCGGAATCAGACTACGCATTGAAGATTGAGATTAAAGATTGAAAAATTCAAATTTGACCAATCGAAACGAAAGGAGCTAAAATTTCTTTGTCCTTATTGGTCAAATTTCAATCTTCAATCTTCAACCTCAATCTTCAATGCGTAGTCTGATTCCGTCCTTAAGACCATCACACGTACAAAAATTTTAGTCGTAATCATAAGGCCGTAAGCAAATCGGTAAGCCAATCACAGTCGAGTGTTTAAAAAAATTCGAGATCTCAATTTTGATTGTGATTGGTCAATTTGTTTGCGACCTTACGATTCCCATTAAAATTTTTGTACGTGTGATGGCCTTTAGAGCTGTGGTAGAAGCATATTGGAACAAACCTTAGGACTCTAGTCAACTCCGAGTATCTTTTATCCTTGTTCTTCAATGTTGAACAAGGATAAAAGATACTCGGAGTTGATAGAGTCGAGTTTTGGAACGCACCTTAGAGTGAGTAGGAGCTATGGTAGGAGCATGTTGGAGCTTGCGACGCGAACAAACCTCCTGTGTCGCTTGCTGAAAAGCACCAAGCAGGGTAAGTTTTTTAATTCAACAATTGATTAATCGCAAATGTAATTTTGTTCCGTAAAAGATGTATTTGCGCGCAATGCGATTGATTAATTGATGAATTAAAAAACTCGTCCGTAGTGTAAGGGCACGTTCACACCTTGACGGAAAAGCAGTGGCCAATCACAACTCGCGCTGGTAGTAAGTAGTACAAAAAGCCGAAATTGTCGACTACCATCGCGAATTCTGATTGGCTGCGGCTTTTCCGTCAAGGTGTGAACACGCCCTAATGTCCTATCTGGAAAACAGCCAATAGCAGTAGTACCCTGGAACAGCCAATCAAATTTGGGTCCAAACTCATTCTCCTACTGCGCATTCGCGGAAACGTTTCGCCCCTGTATTTTTACACCATGTTCCGCTCTATCCAATCCTCTTTGCTCTCAGATTTCTCTTTGCAGTTTGCGGCGCAGCTGGCAGCATAACCTAGCATAACCAATATTTTGCTTGTGTATACTTTGCTCTACCTTTACCCGAGTAATGTTTCTGAATGTCGCCGTTGATTTGGTTTTAAAGTGTTTCAATATCTTGTATGAAATTTTGTATTAAAAATGATGTTTGTTCTACGGCAGTTATATCTGTTCTATACGAAGCAAAGAATATGTACACCAATAAGCCATTTGATTAAGCTGTCTAATCACAAAATTCATACATCTAAAGGTTGGTCATATCATGCTGTTAAAAAATTATTAATTGCTGTTGCTACTTAGAAGTCAAATCTGTTGGAAAGTTTCAGATTCGGATTTTGCGTTGCAATATCTCCGTTCGTAGGGCACGTAGAGAAAAAATAAAATACGTACTATACAACCCGAGTGTATGCTATCGATTAAGCGTACATAGAACGTGATCGGTTCTGCTCTTATTGAGATATGATAATTTCGGTTCTCCGCAATTCGCCGGCTCGCGTAAAATAGCCACGGCAGTGTCGCTGCGCTTGGCTTAGCGCCGAGACACTACCGTGTCTCCAGATTTGTTATAAATCTGCTATCACTGATATTTTTCTTGTCTTAGATAACATATTATACATATAAACTTATGTATTGAATGAATAAAACTTTAAAAATACTTTTTTGCAGTTATGTTTCATGGTGAATACGAAATGCAGGATCCTAAAACTGAGGCTGATATGTAGGTAAAATAAATGTATTCTTGCTTCATGTAAGATTTATAAAATAGATAATTTTCTTAGAACTTTGCAATTTGCATGAAACGTATCTTTATTTCTAACACGAAATAAAAGAAATATAATTTTCAATAAACATAATAAATAGACGTTTTAATAAACGTAATAAATATAATTTTTAATATTATTTGTATGCATTATGCAAAATTTTACATTAGAAGTTAAATGAATTTATTTGAAATTTTTGATAAGTATTATATTTACATTAACGGACATAGCTCCGATCAGCTTGATCTTAGCATGTTCTTGTTAAAGTTATGATCTTCATCAAGCTTTAAGAGAATTTAGCCTCTCAAATTTCGTTCGTTATTAAAAAGTGCACTTAACAATTAAAAATTAACAATTAACAATTTCACAGATCTAGTGCTTCTGAGATACGAAATGAAGTTTCATAATTATTATAAATCGATATAGCATTACACAAACAAGGAAAGTTGGAAATCCATGTGGAACCTTATAATGATATTATTTTACACTGTAAATAGGTGGCAGTTTGTTTTGCATGAAAAATTGGAAACTTATATGAAGCCGTACAATGGACTTTGTATGTATATAAATAATAGATTTCGTTTTTCATTAAAAATACTGATTATATTATGAAACAAGGTCTATTTATTGTATTAATATGATTCCATATGGATTTGAAACTTTCCATGTGGAGCGGAATTTAATTTTTCTTTTGAAAATAAAAAAGATAGTAAGTATGTATATATAAACAAAAAAAAGAGGTATCATCAACAAAGAGATATAATAAATTGAATTTAATCAAAAATAAAAACGTAATACTTTATAAATAATGTCGTATTTATAAATGCTAGTTAATGTCCAAATTATGGTTTTAAATGTTCACATTATTTTTATTTGTTAATAACTTTTTAATAAACAATAAGTGACAACTAAAATCTTGGGAATATCATTCAAGATCATGATTTTGTTGAACATATGTCAAAGTCAAGCTATGTCACTCAGGAGGTCACTCAGGATCATGATCTTAACAACACATGTCAAGGTCGTTGGGGCGTGCTTGTCTAATCTGAATTTTTACCAATTAAAGCCTACTTATAGTGAATTTACAGTTTCATTTATAGATAGTTTAATTTGGATCGCGTATAAAAGTCAATCGACAAAAACAAATGATAAATATAATAATTTTTCGTTTAATTTTAGTTATGAGAACTATACTCATCCCTCGATTTACGCGGCACTTAATTTACACAGATTTCTTTTTACACGATAAATAATCTTTCGATACACGAATGTTATATGCGGTTTCAATTTACGCGATCTCATTTTACGCGGTTCTTTTTTTACAGTTTTTTTTTTCTATAATGAGCCACAAAACTGGAAAATGCAATTTTGGACATTGATCCAAATATCCAACAAGTTTTAAAATTTTAAAAACGTTTTAAAAAATGTTGCAGTGAATATAAAAAAATTTATGATGAGATTTAGTAAAAAATAAGCTTGGTAAAATATCATCTGAATATATAAATATAAATAATGAAACCGAAGTAATATTTCCAAATAGGAAGAATTTGAGCGATGAAGATAGTAATTTTGTGCCAGTTAGAAAAAGAAGGTTGTTGGTTTTAAATTATAGTGCAGACACCGACAACGAATAAAATTTATTATGATTTTTATAAATTTTTATCATACTGGTGAGTTTCTTTTTACGCGATTTTTTCCGCGTAAAAAAACCACATGGAACGACTAATCTGCGTAAATTGAGGGACGGGTGTATATTAATGTTGAATTAGATGAATCTTTATTATCGATTCTATTAGTATCAATATTATTATATTACATTGTAGGCATTAAAAGTTAAGTTAATGATTCTATAACGATCAGTAAAAATTACTTTATTGTGATTGTCTTTCCAGAGTTAACGTCACTTTTATTGACAAAACAGGCAAGAAAATTAAAGTAAAAGGAAAAGTAGGAGATAATGTACTCTATTTGGCTCATAAACATGAAATTGATATTGAAGGTGCATGCGAAGCCAGTTTGGCATGTACAACTTGTCATGTATATGTACATCATGATTATATGGATAAACTTTCAACTCCTGATGAAAGAGAAGAAGATCTTTTGGATTTAGCGCCTTTTTTGAAGGAAAATTCTAGGCTAGGTATATCAATTTTTATTACTTTTCTTTAAATCTAAAACTAATTGCAAGATGAAGGAGCATTCCAAAGGTAAATTTCTGTATTATAGGAAAAATCTAGTTATGCGAGTAGTTTGTGCATTGTAAGGTTTCTGTTTGAAGTATGTTCGTAACATTTTACAATCAGAATTGCCTTCAATGCAATCATTAGACTTTTTTCTACACTAGACTGCACTATAGAACTCTCTTTCTCGCTTTCGATAAATATCAAACATATACTTATCTCACTGTAAGTTCCAAAAGTGTATACTAGTTCAGCCATAGAAAGTAGACCTATATCTATCATTAGCTGACCAAAGGAAGGGTTGCAATAAGGGCCATTTTTGCCGCCCTCCCCCTGAATTCAAATGAAACTAAGAGCAATGTATCTTCATATAGACTTCATAATTTCTTAAAAGGATATGCTTCTAAACCTAAATCATTTATGAAGTATTACACTTTGAATTTGAAAGATTTATAGGGGATTTGGCATTTTTCGATGATTGAGGTTTTTTTTGACAATTTTCCTGGAATGGCCATTTCACCAAACTTTCTCAAAAACTTCTTAAGGGTATCACTAGAATATATCAATAGATGAAAGCGATGCAATTAAAAAAACGACTCTTTTTTTGATAGTTTGTAATATTACTCGATATAATTATAAGAAGTAAAACAACTTTAACATGTATAATTCTACAAATATGAATAAATAAATATGAATAACTCTGGTTTATGTTTTTCTAGGTTGTCAAATAATTTTGAAGAAGGAATTAGATGGCATAGAGCTAGAATTACCTAAGGCAACTAGAAATTTTTATGTAGATGGACATACCCCTACTTCGCATTAAAAAAATTTCTTTTTGAAATTGAATTAAATGTGTAAATATTTGTAAGTATATTATAAACGTATTTTATAATAAATAATTTTGTTTAAAATTAACGTGTACGATCTTTCATTTGAGCATCGTTAGATTCAATAAAAATAACGAATGCCATGTAATTTTCTTCTGTATAAAACAACCAGATATATTTATTTACTTTTTCCTTATACATTTATATTATGATACTTCTTATTGAGAATAGTTCCTTTTACTACTTTTATTTTATAATGCTTTGTTGGTAATCGCGTCACTTTATGTCAGCACCATTTTATTTTTCTAGTGATTAGTACATGTTCATCAAGTTGGTAGACCTTTTTTTGTATCCGTCTTCGTTACGAAAGATTTTGTTCCAACAATCACAGAAATACGCAGTTCTACATATTTATCAAACCTAAATTAGATCATGTTTATTATTGATTCGCCCAGCATATTTCCCAAGCATATTTGAAGCTACTTTAGGTTATGAGCTCAGTCCACGGTCCGTTCTTGGCGAATGCGAAAGACGTGCGAGCAAGCAAGATTAAATCCTCACACTAAAAATTTATTTTAACGTACAAACGAAAATAAGATATGTACAACTTTCAATGGCCTTGGTTTTGATAAATGTTATCCAGTTCATGGTTCAAAACAACATTTAAAATGGTTTGACTGTCGGTCGGACACTTTGGATAATGCTAAATGCCAGAGGTACTATAACTTTCGAGCATCATAACTAAAAAAGTACTTGATAAAAAAACATTTTATTATAGTGTTTTGGAAAGCTCTCGAGGTAAGCTACAAGAATATCCAATGAAAAATAAGGATTTCCATTTAAAAAATTGAAGACGACCTTCACGTGACCTTCAAGCAACTATTCAAGATCAAATTAATGACCCCACCTTACGTCCCCCTCAAAGCCATACAACTTTGGTCTGAAATATTCGCTATCTTGCTTAACTGAGATATTCACATGTATTGATTAAAATGGCCTACCCTGTATATTTCTTTCTCGTGTGATTTTGATAAAACTAGAGACCCTGCAGAGAAGAGAAATTGTAACAGTCTCTAACTAGAGTGTCGCGACTCTGATTAGAGGGTTTCTAAAGGTACCTTTCATGCTGACGCTCGACGCTTATTTTCGGCGTCATATAAATCACGTGATAGAAATTGATGAATATCAAGCGTTAATTTTGATCACATGACTTATTTTGATGCTGAAAATGAGTATCGAGCATCAGCATGAAAAGGTACCTTAATACGTACTAGAGACCCTCTAATCAGAATCTGGGCTGCGGTCCACTTGACGCTACAAACGCTTCGAAGCGTTTGAGCGACCAATCAGAACAAAGAATTTTACGAATTGACTAATCAAAGAATGCTTCGAAGCGTTTGTAGCGTCAAGTGGACCG